TAAGATAACTTGTATTAACATGCACATTAATACTATAATTTCAGAACATAATTTATTTTGGGAAATTATCCTCTAATTGTCTTATGAGATTTTCTGTGAAAACATCTCTGGATAGGATAACTCTCTTTAAGATGAAGTGGTTCTTGAAAATTATTCCAGTGCTTATTAAAAGTTTAAAAAGGAAGGAGAGAGCAAAGCTGTGGTTTTCCTTCTAAAAGAGAAAATAACCCAATGAATATGGTGTTAGTAACGCCCTTCCTTCTTATTTCCTAGTTTGCTGATAATGTTTCCAAGTTCACTGTTTAATCCAGAGCAAAAAGGATGATGAACTTTAGTAGGTGTATTTCCATGAACTGGGAACCAGATTGTGATGTTGAAATTTCAGACAGCACAACTGCCATCAAAACAACAGATTCACTTTTCTGTGTTTTATTTTGCTCTGACTTGCTGACAAGTATTTTGAGTTCTGGAAATATGAATTTTCTGTAACTGTCCTTGACATGTCTCTCCAGTATTTGAATAAAATTACTACAGAATTTTATGATGTTTAAATTTTCTTAGTTCTAAATTTCCTGATCATCAGCCTCAAATGCTGATTCTGTTTGACTCTAGGTCCTATTCAACCAAAACTAATATTCTTTCTGCTGTAACGTATGCAATAGAGAAGGACTTGTAAGGTACACGTAAACCTCAATTCATGATAAATCCAGAAAAACTCATTGTAATGCATTCTTAATGATTGCTGTTATTTAAATTTTCTCAAGAATGTATTTTGTAAAAATAATAGTTTAGGGTGTATACTATACATTTAGCCATTTGTTTTTCACATAAAGTTTTAATATTGTAAGAACAACAGAGAACATGGTCAACATACATTTTACAGCCTGGCCAATGACAGACTACGTGCAACATGCTGATATGCCTGTCTCATTCTTTTTTCACAGAAAGGTCTTCCAACTGTGAGGGTTTGGGATTTTAAGCACTGAAACGGATAGCATTAATTTGCTTCTGCTCGGTTCTTAGGTGGAGATAACTACACCTTTCGGGACCTTTCCCCCCACAGTCTGGGAACTACTTAAAAATCAGGCAGAAAGGTGCATCTCTGATTCACGTCTACCAATTAAAACAGACTGTAGCCCGGACCCGTAGCCCACGTAGCACTCCAGTCCTCAGCCAGGCCGAAGCCAGAAGGTGGCTAGTAAGATTGGGCCCTGCTCTGATTCACGTCTCTGGGTTAAGGCAGTCTCCTTCTGGTTACGCTCAGATGCATGTGCAATTTGTCAAATGCCTTGGCCGAATGAACACCAGCGTCCACAAGCTCACACCCTGAAGGTTGTAAGGGACTTGAAGAGTTGCCTCAACTTACTCATCAGCATCTCCCTGAAGTGATCTCCTACGAGAAAGTAGAAGACAGGATTGATGGCACTGTTCAGGAAGGCCAAAGGCCGAGTCATGATGTACAGGGTATTGATGGTCACTTGGGTGCATCCCTGCGGCCAGTGGCCCAGACGTGATGCTATCCTCACGTTGCGCATGACATGGTAGGGCGTGAAGAGCGTGGAGAAGACAGCCACTGCCAGGACGACCAGACGCAGGGGCTTGTCCAGTGGCACAGCGCTGACCGGCAGCCTGTTCCTCCTCTTCAAGAAGACGGCAATTTTGTAGTAGAAGAAGCACATCACAGACAAGGGAATGAGGAAGCCCAGCAAGGTCAGGCACAGGCTGTAAACCAGGTTGTATCTCGGGTCTCCGGAACTTGCATAGTCAGTGCAGCTGGTGCCCTCGTCTGTTATGACAGGATTTATGAAAGGGAGGATGGGTAGCAGCTCTAAGGTTACTAAGACCCAGATACCCACAGAGATTAAAACAGCGAATTCTTTCTTTTGCAGAATGTGTTCCCGAAAGGGGTACTTCATGAGCAGGTAGCGATCGATGCTGATGAAAGTGAGGAAGAGGATGCTGGTGTACAGGTTGGCGTGGAGCACAAATCGGTTGCTTATGCAGAGCACATGTCCATACATCCAGTATCCATTGGCATAGCTTCTTATCAGCATGGGAAGGGTGCACAGGAAAGCTAAGTCAGAGATGGAGAGGTTAAAGAGATAGATGTTGCTGCTGTTCCACTTCCTCAGGCAGAAGAGGTAGCCGAACACTACAGTGACATTCCCCAGCACTCCCAGAACGAACTCGAACCCATAAAAAATGGAAAGATAATATTTTTCCAAGGCCACCTCTGCAGCCATCCAGTTCTCACAGGTTGAATTCCATGCCTAAAAGAGAAGGAAAAGACAGGATTTCAAACACAAGAATTTGACCAGCACCAACCTGCAGAACCACGCATTGAAAAATTTAGACTTCTGGGCGTTGTGGTGCACCTTTAAAGCCCAGGCCTCAGGAGGCAGAGACTGGTGGATCTCTGTGAGATCGAGGCCAGCCTCATCCCTGTAGTGACTTCCAGTCAGGCTGGGACTAGGGAGACCCTGTCAAAATAAAAAATAAAAACAGCAGCAACAAAAAAAGAAAAATTACACTTGACAGGCAAACTACGCAATTAGTGAGGAATGTACATGTACATATGCACATACGTGCAACAAATATACATGTGTACGCTAATATACCATTTCAACAAGGATTAATTGAATATTTTCAAGTTTTGTACTAAGCTCTGGGTATGATAGCAAAGAATAAACCAAAGTTGCGGATACCAGACCATGAATACATTCTTGGGAAGAATCAGGAATTAAATATATAATGATAGGTGGGAATGTAAGCAATTAATGATTAAAATGTTAGTTTTAGGGTTGGTATGGTAGAAAGAACTAATTCCTGTAAGTTTTTCTCTGACCTTCACATTTGCTTGCATACATGTGCACACACACAGAATAAATAGATTAAAAGTGTTAGAGTTTAGGAGTGGGGTACGGCAGTAAACTTTATATATCTATATATAGTGACCAAGGAAGTGGTTTTCTCTGAGATCCCACTTAAGCAGAAACTACAAAAGAAAAATGGAACGATCCATACTTGCACCTGGAGGAGACTGTTCCATTCACAGGAAGAACATGCGCAAAAATCTCCGGGATAGAAGCGTGGAGAGGGCTCATAAACAGCAAAGAGGCAGAATAAAGGAAGAGCCTAATTTGCTTTTGTATCTCTGGAGCCAACCACAGTCCCCAATATATTACAGTATTACAGTTGTTCAACAAACTCTGAGTTAAACTGAATTGAACTTTAACCCTAGAGAACGTAGAGACTGTTGGAATACAAATGTGCCATTTGAATAGATTTTAATTCCGTATAGTCAAAGATTTTATTTCATTTTATTAAATTTAGAAAATACATCCCAGTTTAACACACAATCTCTGGTGCAGCTAGAACAGTGTAGGTTCACTCGTAACCCCCTTCTGCTGTTTTC